ATTAGTGCGATGACAGTTTTGGTATAAATTTGCAACACAGAAATGTCTTATAGCGGAGGTATCGTTTGTCCGAAAACCTATTATTAGAATAATTATTACACATAATATATGTATTTTTTGGGCAGAAGTTTGTTTGGTCTAATTACGTTGGTTATACTATCTGTTTTCCATATTAATTTAGATTGCTGAAAATTTGTTTCGACAAAATTATTTAATATTTTTAGATAAAATTGTACCTCTCCAAAATGCTGGACTAAGGTACAGTCTGGTGCACTGCAAGTCCCACTTACGTTATTTTCGTCATACCATTGTGCTATGTGTTGGCTGTCATCTGAAATGTAATTGAAAAACAATGGTCTTGTCGTCGACATAGCCGGTAGAATAAGCAAACTGAAATGGCAGTGGACTGGCCATATCTGTCAAAGAACCGATAACTGATGGGGGAAGCGAGTTCTTGAGTGGCTCGGCAAACGTAGGACGCCCTATGGCCAGATGGAGTGATGATTTGCGAAGGGCTGAGGACTGGGGGAAATGGCGCGCATTGGGAGAGGCCTATGTTCAGCAGTGGACTACGATAGGCTGTTGATGAGGATGATGATGACCAGCAAAATAATTTACCACGTTTCAGTTTAAAACCGTCCGCCCGGTTGGAAAGTTCAAGTACAGGTGAAACTGTCAATGAGCCTTCGGTTCAGATGTTGCCGCAAAAAAGCGAAGCGAAGCGACCTGTCAAAAAGAAGACGTTAAGATTCTCTCTTTTAGAGGGCAATAAAAAGAAATAATAGCGATGAAACATCGAACACATATCGATTGGGATTACCGGACTAACAGTATAAAGTCGCTATAATAGAACACTGCTGTCCCAAATCGAAAATGGTGGAATTGAAAAAACACGATTTGAAAGTTCAAAAAATTACTGAATACTTACTTCGGTCAGTTCGGGCAGTTCCTCCTAGCTACTAGCACCGAGATTCTTGAGGTCTTTCTAGACTTCATCGCTCCAGAGTTACTTAGAACGTCCGACCGTTCGGCGTTGACTCGGTTGTCTTAAATAGGCTCTCTTCGCGGCACGATTTGGTCCCATTCTCTCCACGTGTCCGAGACAGCGGAGTCTAGCTGCTTTGATCTTCAATCTCAATGTTTTTCATCTTCCCTTTGAGTCGGTCTCAGAATGGAACCAATAAATTCTTATTCTCGTTTATGAGTGGACAACTAATTATTGTTACATTAATTTATGTTACAAATAAAAAGAATCCCATTATTCACAATGAGATTTATTCGGTATTTATTTTTTAAACTTTTAAATTGTGTTTTCTCTGTATTTGGTTTCAAATGCGATAAATCCGAGTAGTGTAAAATTACAGTAGTAGCGTGTAATTACACATTAAGGATAAAAAGGTAATTAAAACATAATTATCACGGTCTTCGAAAATCATTAGATTTTTTGCCGTTTTTTGAACATTGTCTTAGTAACTATTTATTTTATACTTTGATTCCAACCTATTTAAGAACTAAATAAATATTGCAAATGCAAACGAACAAATGCTCTTTTATTTGTTTTTAAATTATCTTAGTACCATCAGAAAATGAAACTATATATGATATCTTTTTGGGATTTAAATTGCGTATATTTGTTTTTTCAAACAAACCAACGTTTCAGGCTCTTTACATGTCTCATGGTCACGGCTGACAGTAAAAATAGTTTCATTTGTTATGTATGATAATTGTGAACTCTATATTTAGTACTATCACTTCACCGTTCAACAGAGATTGTTTTGTCGAATGTGATATTTTTTACTTGTGTAGCAGGTAACAATAGTAGCAGCTATTTGTTGTAACATTACGACTCCAAAAAGCTCTAGTGAAAAAAAATAATAATATAAAATGGCGGGTTTTTGAAGTTACAAGACCAGTTTTTACAAAGTTTATTTTTATTTTAACCTTCAATCGGTCGTGCGGTGTCACAGGCATCGTGTTTTATTGTCGTTCGTATAATTGTACATTCTCGGCACATGTATTGACTCAGCTTTAGAATACATGGCGTCGAGTTGGGCGTTCAAATTTTGGAGATACATCTAGACAAAAGTAGCACTCTTCCACCAATTTTCAGTTTTGAGCTGATTTTCCACAGGCGAGACGAGAAGATACGAGGCGTGACGAGAATAGAAATTTGTATATGGCAAAATTTCAATTCTCTCCTCGCGCATCTTCGGTGGACCAGGTCTGGCTTGACGAGGATGGGCGAGGCGAGAATTAAAATGTTTGTTGATAATAATAACGCACACACTAAACACGAAAAATTGAAGCAAAAAAAACGCAATTTGAAAAGTATACATTGCAAAAATTGTGTGAAAAAGAACGCCGACGCGATTTTGTTTTTTTTTTTTTTTTTTGGTATTTGGCTTCTGTCCCACTGAGGACAATTTTGCTAGTGTCCGGGTTGAAAGATACACGGTATATTTATCAAGATTCACTCAAACGACGATGATCGGTTGCACCATCCTATGGACAAAGACAAAACACGGGGTTATTTGACTAGCTACTTTGGTAAAAAGCGTAAACACATGCTGTGCACATAGTAAAAGTTATAACCGTATGTTATTTTGTTCAATATATTTAAATAGAGTAAATAGTAAAGGAGGTTTTAGGGGAGAAAGGATACTATAAAAATTTGTGGGACGAGGGATACAATCTGGAAGAAGATCGTATAAAGAGACGGGATATAATGCACAGTTAAAAAATATATGGTCAAGAGTTCCTTCTGCAAGGTGCGGTCTTCGCAAAGGGAGTGATCCCTTATCCTGAGCTTAGCAAGAAAAGTGGGTCTGCAGTTATGTCCTAGGCGCAATCGGATGATAGTTGAAGTTGTTCTTTTACTGGCCTCGCGGAACTCGAAAAACCAAGGTTTCTTGGGTATTACTGGTTGAAGACCAGCATAATATTTGCCTTTTTGTCTGCTAGAAGACGACCAGTAAGTCTTCCAGTTATTGTGTAAATCAATCTTAGCCTGGGAGCGTAAGATTTTATGTTTTAATTTTCGATATTCCACTGTCATGATGTCACGTGTTGTAAAATTTTAAAAATATATGTTTTTTACTTTTTCCTTGCGGAAAGGCAAAGGTCTGTAAACCAGACAGCCTAGTTTTTTAAATCCATTTCTAATCTCTTTTCTATTTTCAGGCCTAAGCCAAATTTCATTAAGAAAGAAGATATCCACAATATTTTTAAGGTATTTTTAACTGTGGCCGCCGGGCGATTCATTATTGTCCAGGTATCTGGGCACAAAAATACCAAAAATGCAACAAGGAAGCTTGGAATCTTTTCCACGGTAAGGCGTTACTTTACACCGGGACAGTTGCTTCAGCTGTACCAAGCACACGTCCGATCGTTCATGGAGTACTGCTGCCACCTCTGGGATGGCTCTGCTACATATCAACTGGCCAGTTTGGATTCAATTGACAACCGTACCAAGAAGCTTATTGGTGACTTGGAATTAATGGAGGCTAAGCTGCAGAGCAGAGAACACTGCCGTAAAGTTGCCTGCTTATCAGAGAGTGTGCGATGGAATTACACGATTTAATTCCGCCTTCCCCTTTCCATCACCGGGGGACTAGGCGTACGCTTGGATTCCACCCCTATGTTGTGGTTATTCCAATGATTCGCACGAACCGTTATGCTTCCACATTTATATGGCGAACTGCTATGGAGTGGAATTCATTGCCTGCAGACTTGTTCCCTGAACGTTATAACTTGGAGCTTTTCAAAGCGAGAGTGAATAGGCATTCTTTAGGTGTGCATGCTCCATCGTCGACCTCATCGTCACTTTCCATCAGGTGAGATGGAGGCCAAATGCGCACCTATATTTTATATAAAACGTAACAAAAATCTTACGTACACTTAACACCTAAAGATATAGAGATTCGGTTCTAAGAAGTATGTTGCGAGGAAAATCTCCTGGGCAACCTCTTCAAAGTTATTTAACCTTTATGCGAACAGCCCGATCGGGGAGCTTAGTAGTGCTATGGTGGAGTGTTCAATTGATGGTAAATATGTTAATAACATTAGTTATACCAATGACATGGTACTGCTGAGCCCCTCGATAAGGGTACTGTCTTAGACTTTAAAACCATGGCCTCAAGTATAACGCAAACAAAAGTGAAATGCTGATGTTCAGGCAGGTGCTAAAGGGTATCGTTCTATACCGCTAGTCACTCTCGGGGACACTCCTCTTAAAACAGTGTCGGAATTTAAATACTTGGAGCACTGGGTACCGAGTCGCTAAAATATAACATGAACATAGAGAGAGAGAACGTAGGGCGCTGGCTGTAAGGAGTAAAATGTTGATCCGTAGATTTGCGAGGTTTACAGTAGAAGTGAAGGTCACCCTGTTCAAACCTACTGCCAATCGTTTTACACCTGCAATCTGTGGATGGCATTTACTAAAAAAGCATACAGCGCCCTACGTGTGCAATATAACAATGCATTCAGGATGCTGTTGGGGCTGCTGCGTTACTGTAGCGCATCAATAATGTTTGCAGAAGCACATACGGATGGTTTTGCTACCCATAATGAGAAAGCGACAAGCCTCCCTGATGCCGCGGGTGTGCACCAGCACCAACAGCGTCCTGAGCACAGGTAGTAGGCTTGTATAGTTCATGAACTACGAACTATTAGGAATATATTCCCTGCACTGACCGACATGAACTAGTTCGTCTTGCACGGTTTTAATAGTTCATCGTTCTTTTTAGTTCAGTACGAATTAGGAACTGTCTGCGATGATAGTTCACCTGTATTTTATTCAGTAGGAACGGTGCGAGCGGGACAAATAGCGATCTTTCACTACTTTTAGTACAAGTTCTAGTGGGATGCACGATTGAACGTTCCCAGCTCATTCTAAGTCTCTAATACGTATCTAAATTATGTATATATACAAGCTTGCAAATAAGTAATATTTTTTGGTAGGTATCTGTATGTATAATATCAACGTACGTGCATGGGTATATGAAATAGTTGTACCTAAATATTCATTTTTAAACACACCATTCTAACTAAAATTAACTTATTTTGTAAAAAAAAAGGATAATTAGTTAGAATGACAGTCTTTAAACCTGTAAAATATGAAGGAAAATCAAATAGCACCGATTCCATACAAATTGTATTTTGAAATATTTAGTACAGTGTAGTCTGGACCTCATAATACTAGAAGTCCGTAGTAGTTCATGTGAATAAAATTACTAGTTTGGAGCGTTCATTCAATGTCCGAGCAAGGACAAGACGAACTAACTAACTAAGAAACTAGATGAACTAAATAAACTAGAAGACCGACCTCGCGGTGGGTCGACACTTCTTGAAACGGGGACGTGAAGCAACCTATTCACTGGAAATAAATCCATATTTCCTATGTAATATACTCTATAGTCGATAAAAAGACTTGGTTGAATCATTGCCATTTAAAAAATAATAACTTTTTCTTCATCATGTTGGCACTATTTTCAGAAATGTCTGACGTTAGTGTCAAACTATCAAAGTCGGCGCGTTTTAAAAAGTTATTTACTAACGAATAATTTCTTTTGAAAGTATTTTACAAATTAGTACACGAGGTGTTTATATTGTGGTTTATGTTACGTTGTATATTGCTCAGTACATTCTGTTTTGCGACCTAGTTCAGTTGACCGATTGAGTAGCTAGGATCGCTCCCGCTAAGGACCGATCAGGCACAAGTCTACACAGTAGCGGACAGAGTTGACGACCATTAATGAATGCTTTAACGCGCTTCATGTCGTGCCCTCTAATTGGGCTGCAAATATAAAGAAATGTATATATGAATAGACAAATATAATATAAAGTAATTAATGTACTTACTACCATAGTTTATAAGTCTATTACTAATTATATATGGATTCCGGTCCGAAATAAATCCTGATTGTTAAGTTGCGAAAAAGGAACAATTTCATTATTGTTTTACTTACATAATAATTAAGTAACTCTTATGCCGCGTCCTCACATTCTTGCGATAGGCGATGCGAATAGCGATGCGATGCACGATACGGATGTGTAATAACAATTAACGGTCACTTCGCTATCGCGAAGTTAGGCACGAGTAGCGTCGCGAAGTTAGATACGACAGGCGACGCGAAGTTACTTTTTTTGTCTTATTTCCTGGCACTATGGCATCCAGGCTTTGGCCATATGCCATTTCGGTTGAGTTGCCAATTTTTGTTCCAATATTTCTTCCAATACTTTCTTTCTTCGTGAGACTTCAGGATATCATCGCAGTTGTTGTTGTTGTTGTGGAACTTTGATGTGGGGTTTTGGATATTAATAGGAATTTAAAAACGGGGAAAGGAAATCGAGGAATAAAAATAAAAGCAAACGGAATTTTGGTACGGTGATTAACAAGATAGGTTAGGTAGTATATTATAGGTAAATCTAAACAATGAAGGACGGAAATTATGAAATGGAAATGAGATGGTAATAGTTGAAAATAATGTTTTTGTAAATTTTAATAACATTGTTCCTGATGAACTGAGCCAATGCATTATAAACAGTTATTCGCAGTGTTGCCACTGTAGCCAGTTTTTAGGTATATAGATTTATTCAGATTTACGAAATTATTAGGCACAAAACAAAATATTTGATAGTTAAATCTTTTAGCTCTTTTAGTAAGAAAAGTAAAAAATTGGAAAATAAAGCTTAACCTTCAATATCACAAGATGATAATGATTTGATTGATATTGATGATAATTATTAAGTCGATTTATAATTTGTAAAATTAAGAAAAATATGTATTTAAAAACGCAATCCCATAATTATGTTTTTGTTCAGCCACTTTAGGCAATTTTACCCAGACTTAATTTCTTGGAATCTAGCAACTTTTACTTAAAGTTTAACTAATTCCTCCTTGGGCAACGTGGCAACACTACTTATTCAAAAAGTTGACAACCAACGTGAGCTACTACAATTTCTTGAAAACAAGTCTCTATACACTATGTATACAGATGGTTCAAAGACTAAAATACTGCAACTTCGGCATTTTATGACCCACAGGTTAAATTATCTAAATGCTTCAACATTAACAACTATTGTAGTATCTTCACAGCGTAGTTGAAATAAACTAATATTAACATAATCCAAGCATTTTTATTATTTGCAGAAGACATTTTACAGTGTCAATTTCAACCATAGATCTACCAACCATAGTGTATATATATATATATAACATTCGTCCATCCCTACAATTTACAACATCTCCTCGATAAGCCGCCGAGGTCGCCTGATGGTGCGCTCATGGCGCTTTGATCTCGCTGTAGGGACACCGTGGTAGGTGGCGAATGCGTAGTAGCAGCGCATGGCCGCATTGGGGTGGTAGCTGAGTTCTGCGTTCCTGACGAACTTGCAAGGGGTTCCACCTCACTGGTGTTTATATGATGCGGGTCGTGTGTGGCCTGAGAGCCATCAGTAGAAACTGGACTGATATGGTCGGCTAAGCGGGAACGCACTTGATCAGCATGATATCTCCTTTCTACCCCATTGGCTGTGTCTACGGTGTACGAGTATCTATGCGTACGTCTGGATATGGTAGCAGGTTCCCATCGTGACCCATCCCGGGCTCGGACAAACACGCTGTCCCCCGATCTAAAACATGGTGTTAAATTTTCTGAATTTATATTAGCCTGTATCTGCCTATGCTGCAGGGCCTTTTTAGAGTTAGGGCGTGCGTTATCCAAAATACAATGCAGCTGACGTCCGAACATAAGTTGTCCTGGGCTCTTACCGGTGGTGGAATGAGGTGTTATGCGGTAGGAAAAAAGGAAATTTTCTAGTCGTCCTTTCAAGGTGAGATGGTCACTGGCACTTGATGATAGCCTGGATTTGAAATTGCGAACCAGACGTTCAGCCAAACCGTTAGTCCGGGGATGGTACGGGGATGATTTTATGTGTAGAATACCCTTGTCTCTACAATAGTCTTGAAATTCCTGAGAAGTAAACTGTGGTCCATTGTCAGAAACCAAGAATTGAGGGAAGCCGAAGGTGGTGAAAATGGAATCTAACTCTTCACACAGTTTAGAAGTGGTTATCTGGTTCATGGGTTTAATTTCGACCCATTTCGAAAGCGCATCTGCTAAGACAAACCAATATTTTCCCTCGAACGGGCCTGCAAAATCAATGTGTAGCCTTTCCCACGGGTTGTCAGGAACGGACCACGAGTATATCGGCAATTCAGCGTTGTTCGGCCGATTCTCTTGGCATTTGCGACAACGTTTAATGTACTCCTCAATGTCATCATCAATGGACGGCCACCATACGTAAAAACGTGCTAGCGCTCTCATTGCGGATATGCCTGGGTGTCCTGTATGCAGATATTCCAAGGTGGCCTTTCTCAGGGTGTTCGGTATTACTATTCGACCTTGCCACATTAATATCTTATTTTCAATAGACAACTCAGTGCGCTTCCGAGCATAGGGCTTTAAGTCATCTGAATAAAAATTTTCACGCCAGCCGGTCTTAATGTACTCTGATACCTGTTTAAGCAAAGGGTCCTTCCTTGTCGCGCCTCGTACACTGTCCTCTGTTAACGCAATATCCGAAACTCTTTCATGCTGCAACTGAGCTACCACTCTGTGTACTGTCAATTCTGCATTAGACGGTTTATCTTCTGGATTGGGCATCCTAGAAAGAAAATCAGCCATAAAATTTAGATGCTCTTTTGTAAAAACTATATCGTAGTCATACCCTCCAATGATTAAAGCCCAACGCACTAGACGGTTATTGACAATCTTCGGCAAGTTACGTTGTGGCCCCAAAACGTGAATCAATGGCTTATGATCAGTGCTAAGTATGAATTTGGTACCACGTAAATATTGATCAAACTTTTGGATTCCAAAAAATATTGCTAAAGCTTCTCGGTCAATAACTGAATATTTAGTTTCCGCTGGTCTTAGTTTCCTTGAAGCAAAAACGATAGGTTGAATTTTGTCTGCCGATTTATGATATAGGACGGCACCCACACCTTTTCCCGAGGCATCGCAGGCTAAATACAATGGGCGCTTTTCGTCAAAAGCAACAAGCGGTTTCGATTTACTAATATGATCTTTTGCGTTCTTAAAACTCGTATTTTCTTTGACGGTCCATTGCCACTTCCGGCGACCACCAGTCAATGCATGCAGATCTGCGCAGACACTATGTAGGTGAGGAATAAATTTCTCGTAAAAATTTATAAGACCTAAGAACGACCGCAGTTCTTGGGCGTTAGTGGGCGGTGTCGCTTTCATTATTGCATCAATTTTCGATTTCGTCGGCCTAATTCCGTCTTTAGTAATTGTGTGCCCTAGGTATTCAATCTCTGTCTGGAAAAATGAACATTTCTTTAAATTGACTTTTAAGCCCGCCTTATCTAGTTTGCTAAACACGGTCGATAGCGTTTGGAGGTGTTCAATATCATTTTTCCCTGTTAAGGCAATGTCGTCAAAATACACTGCGACATTTGGTACACCGTCCAAAAGTTCATCCAAGTAATGTTGGAAAATTGAAGGAGCTGTTGAGATTCCAAATGGCATCCTATTGTATTGATAATATCCTTTGTGCGTAGAGATTGTCAGGTACTGTTTCGACTCTGGAGCTATTTCAAATTGCAAGTACGCATCCCTTAAATCTATTTTCGAAAATTTGGCTCCATTTGCCAGATTTTGTCGTAGCTGGTCAAAGAGTGGGACTGGGTGAGAATGAGTGACAATAACAGGATTAATAGTGCTACGAAAATCACCGCAAATTCGGATTTGGCCATTTGTTTTTACGACATTCACTGTGGGTGTAGCCCATTCTAATGGCGTGACATTTGGATTAACTTTAGTCACGATTCCTTCGTCAACTAAACGTTGAAGTTCAATTTCTATGTTTTTACGCATGGAAAACTTAACTGGTCGAGCAGGGACATGTTCATAATTCAGGACTTCATAATTTTTAACTTTTCCTAGTTTATTATCAAAAAGGGATGAAAAGGTTGATAGTACCTGTTTAAGCGTAGTGGTGTGTTGAACGGGTTTAACCGAATAGACTGGCTCTGGGAATGTCATTTTATACATCTCGCTCCACTGGAGGCCAAAAAGCATTGGATTGGCGTCTTCCATAACCACAACAGGTAATATTTTCCGCTCTCCCATGATTTCAACGGTTACGTCTGTGAGACCTTTTGGTTTGAGCTTAAGGTTCCCATAAGCTCGTAGCTTCGGTGCCTTGGTTAGAGAGGGTTCTCCGATCCGCTTCCAGAAATTTGTGCTAATAATGGAGTACACGGATCCTGGGTCCCAATCGAATGTGCAACTGACACCGTTGACGGTTACATCAATTCTCTTGCTGTCCTTGTTTCTCTTGCGTTCAACCTTGACGACATCATCACTTTCATCAGAACTCGTGTCAAAAGACTGTGACGAACTTCCATCATTGTGTGCATTGTTCTTAATTTTATGCAGTTTGTTACTATAATTGGTTGGTTGTTTCTTTTCTGTCGCGGTGCTCGCTAAATATCCTCTACCAGACTTTATACAGCAACTTTCAAAATGACCTTGTACGTGGCATTCATCGCATGTATGGTCTTTTGCCTTGCAAACGTTTAGCCTATGTCTCTCTTGTGCACCGCATCGACGGCACTGGTTTGGACTTAGTTTGCGTAGAAACGTACATTGTTTATAGTGACGTCCTGTACTTGTTCTTGCTTTTACTTTATTAGCGGTAGCGGGCATGCTACTATCAGCATCACCTTCTGCTAACTCTCTGGACTGAGCTACTGCAAAGAATTGATCGAAAGTAACCTCTATAAGTTTTCCGTCGTAAGTCTCTTGAAGGTCTGGCCATTTCTGTTTTAGGTCCACTTCTAGTTGAGGTTGATTTAAGCCGCTAGCAAATCGATCGCGCAATTGACGTTGAAACATTGTGTCCTTGTAGCCACAATCGCTGGCGAGTTTCTTTAGCCTGTTAGCATACTGTTCCATAGTCTCGTTGTGGGCTCGTACGCAACTCCAAAATTCAGTTAGTGCTTTATACCTCGTAACTTTAGTTCGATGTAAATCGAGTAGTTTAGACTTAATGTCATTGTAGGAACTGTTTCCAAAGTTAGGAACGAGTGCTATTTTTAGGTCGTGAAATATCTCAGGAGACATACATGAAAATAATAATTCTTTCCTTGTGTCATTATCACTTACGGCCCATATGTCACATTTGGCTTCGAAAAAATCTAAAACTTTTTCTACCGATACAGTCGCAGGGTTAAAAGTGTCGCATTTGAAACTTTTAATAATTGTGTACTTGTTGCTGCTTGCCGAGCTGGTAGGTTCCGTGGCAGGTGTTGCTGGCGTGGGGAGCTCCACTGCTGGTCGTTGCTGCAACACAAGTTGTTGCAAAATGTCCGAAATCTGTTGTTGCTGATTTTTTTGTAATTGTAGAAATTCTTGGAATTGTTCCTTATTCATTTTGTTTGGTTACTCCTCGTCGCCAATGAAATAAACTAATATTAACATAATCCAAGCATTTTTATTATTTGCAGAAGACATTTTACAGTGTCAATTTCAACCATAGATCTACCAACCATAGTGTATATATATATATAACAGTAGTGTTATGCTATTTTCCAAGCATTACTTTGTGTAAATATTCTCGAAGTTGTTAATATAATTATCTTTACTGATTCTCAAAGTGTATTGGCTGCACTCAATAACAAACAATATAAATATAATTTGTGTTATATAGTATATAATATAAAACAATTGCTACATGACATGTATAGTAGAGGTAAAAATATGACATATAAGGTGGGTACCTTCACATTCTGGTATTATTGGGAATGAAGAAGCTGATGGAGCTGCACGAAGAACAGCAGATGAAGAACATTCCTCTTGTTTGAAAGTACCTTACACTGCCTTCCACGCCCAGTTCATGTTGTCACTGAAATTCTTACGGATGGAATATTGGAGGAAAAGCAAAGTGGTACACCAGCATACAAATGAGCCCGCCCGCTCAACCTTAGTGGAATAAAACGAATCTAGACTCACGGAAGCAGATAGCTGACATCAATAGAATGAGATTTGGCCACTGCAGAATTCCTGCTCACCTAAAGAGATTGGGAATCCTTCAAAATGATAAATGTCCTCATTGTACCGAAGAAACAATCGACTTACAACGTATCATTTTCACCTGTGTTCAATACCGTTTTCATCGTCTAATACTTATGGCAGAAATAAAGGACCTTTGTGTAGATGACAGTGATATTCCAAAAAACGTTCAATCGTTACTCTCAAGAAATAACTTATTTAAACCAATATGTAACTTTATATCTAACACTGTGGACGAAATTTAAAGTGTTTTCGTTTTACTTTCTAAGTGTTACAGTTTCGTTATTAAAGTGATTATTTTGACTATTGGCTTAAAAGGGCAAAGTACCCAGACCCGTGAAAACCAATAAAAAAGCCCCTTTTTTTATTAATGGTTTTGACTTAGATACAAGTCTTTTGAGTCATGTCTTCGTTTAATTATCGGATACTCAGTAATACTCCATTGTAGTTCAAATATATTGTTTTCTATTTCTCTTAAATAACTTAGTTAACTTATTCGGGTTTTTTACATAGTCTTTTAAGCGGCGGTAGTCAATATTTATGTTTTAACTTTCACATAGGTCACATTATCTTCTATCGCTTTGAACAAAAACTTGGAATTCCTAATTAGTGGAATTTTCAGGATAACGTCTTTTGTAATTTGGTTTCAGTTAAGGAATATAGTTCTAACTTTTTTCATCGCTATTTCTTTTTTCGTTTTTTTCTTCATAATATACTTAAAATAAAATTAATAGTCTTTGTAAAAACTGTAGTTGTAACTTCAAAAGCCTGCCATTTCCTTATTCGTCCCGCTTCAGAAAAACCACAGAGTACTTTATATATAAATAAGCTGCTAGCGATAATACGTAGGTACAAAATGGATTGGAGTAATGCGCGGGTCTTGTATTTTCTAGAACCATATGTATGAAACCGAAGAACTCATTTGAAACCCAAAACATCCAAACCACAAAATTAAACACAAAGTTAACGATGCATGGAACCGTATTAATATTATAAAATTACCAGTCAATGAGTTGAAAGCGAAGAAGTTATTTTTCCACCCATTTCCATATTTTAGGTAAATTACCTACTTATTACTATTTATTTTATTTATTACTTAAGCGTAGTGTCCTTGAAGACAATCTGTTTTAATTAAATTTAATTGTCGCATATTTGTGTGTTATTTTCCTTTACTTACAAGGTCATTTGTTGAAGTTTCAGCGCCACGGTATTTGTTTTGGCGCTAGTATTTGTTATCAATTAGGTAATTCTTTTACATTACAATTCCTTATGTTAAATAATATAACTACTGTGTAAAATTAAAAAAATTTAAGTAATGAATCGTAATTTCATTCTGACAATTTTTTTTATCGAGTTCTTAGGTTTTCGCGATTGTTAAACATAGGAAATGAAACTATTTTTCCGGATTTAAATCGCGTATATTTGTTTTTTGAAACATGCAACGCTTATGCAGGTATATTGTCTTGGTAATCTTAACTTAGAACCATCAAACTACTCAACAACAGAGTGCGCTGTAACTATTTGCTATAACAAATCGCAACTACGGCAACGAAAGTTGCTCCGCAAAAATGCGCTGGCTGTAATAGCACAGTACCAAAAAGGGAGCATCTGCGATGTGAAACGGGCAAGGGGATTATTTGTTGGAATATGGTTGTTTGCTAATTTTGCTTGAGAAATTGCCACAAAACAATTATTTGCAATTATTAAAAATGTACTCGTATATAATTATAATATCTAATGGCTAACAAAAAACAAATCTGTTTGAATCTAGGACTGCTAAATGTATGCTCTTTAAACACAGGACGTGACGAGTGACTCAATAGTGTACATAGGCATCAATTGGATATATTGACACTAAAAGGGACGTGGCTGAGAGAGTGAGAGGAAAAACATGCGCCAGTAGTGCCAGGGTACATTTTGAAGCACATGCCGAGAAAGGATAGAGGAGGAGGAGGTGTAGGGTTCTACGTTCGACGTGAGCCACGAACCAGAATCAAACTACATCCAAATTCGACTATGGAACAGCTGTGGCTGGAACTTACCTTATGCGGCATAGGACGCCTAGTTATTGGCACACAGCCTAAAGACCGGAATCTGTAAACGTACATAGTGCAATAAAGGCTGTGAACGAATCAATAAACGCGTTCAGTCTCTGTATTCACATCTTTCTGCTCACTGATTTCAATGTGGATCTTCTCGAAAATATGCCAAGAGCACAGGAAGTGACATCATTTTTAACTCAGCGTGGACTTCACGTGTTAGTGCAAGAGGCGACGAGAGTCACAGATATTACCGCAACTTTATTGGATTTTACTGTAACTGATTCACTGAAACGGTGCAACAATGTTTCCGTTAACCATAACCCTCTTCTGAGTGATCACGCCCTTGCTGTAGTAGAATCTAAGTTAAAAAAACAGAAGAAAATGCCAAAGGTTTTTTGAAAACATTTTCTGAATAGAATAAACCAAGACGAATTTACAGCAGATTTAAATAACCTAGCCTGGAACTGTGTTTTTGATGAACGGGACTTGAATAATAAAGTTGAACTATTTAACAATACAGTTTTGTCACTCTTTGAGAAACACGCACCAGTGAGGCGAATTTTCGCCAAAACAAAATCACTTCCATGGATAACCGATAATATAAAGCTAATGATGTCACTGGGAGACCAGGCTCTTGATAGGGCCCGTAAGACAAGGAGCATAAAAAATACTATAAGGAACTGAAAACATTAACCTACAACGCGTTAGAAAGAGATTAGTATGCTTACTTCACGTTCTACGTCAATCATAATAAAAGCGATTCCAATGCTGTATGGAAACATATCAAACGTGTCTCTCCACTTGTTAGCTCTTCTCCACACCGAGCGTTCCGCATCATCTACTAGAACCTAACAAGATGGATAACTACTTTCGACGTTCTGTAGCAAACACAGGCGCTGATGAAATTGTGGTCGATTTTTACAAGCAACACAGATTCTCCGACGGAGTCTTTAATATTTTGCCTACGGCTGAAACATAGATAGCACTGATTATTACAAACATAAAGTCAAATGCTATCGGACACGATTTAATCTCCATAAATTTGATACGAATGACTCTACCGGTCACGTTGTCGGTTATAACACATATAGTCAACGAGTCCATTAAAAGTAATGTGTTCCCAGAATCGTGGAAAATCGCAAAACTAAAACCTATTCCTGAAAGTGCAAAGGTGGAAGAGTATATAGATCTAAGACCCGCCAACATTTCGCCAGTCCTTTCAAATATACTAGAAAGAATAATTTGGTCTCAAATTTGACTGAGTTTGTAGAAAGAGAGAACATTTTACCCGAAATAAAACCAGGATTTAGTAGCGGACATAGTACAGGCACTGCATTAGCACACGTCACGGATAATATATTGGAAGCTTCAGATAGGGGAATGGGCAGTATATTCTTGCTGCTGGATTTCTCAAGAGCGTTTGACTGTATCAGTCTCGAACTAGCAATACAAAAACTATGTTACTACGGCGTCTCAAGTTTAAGCTGTGAATGGGAACCATTTCTTACAGGTCGAAAACAATATGTTGATGTAGAGTCCGAACAAGGCGATATTTTAAAATCAGAATCTCAGACTAACAGTAGTGGCACGCCACAGGGCTCTATCATAAGTCCAATCATTTTTGTACTCTACACAGCTGACTTACCTCAACGGATAATCTACTGTAAAACTCACCTCTATGCTGACGACACACAAATATATTTATTCTTCAATCCGGCTAATACAGGTATGGCAACAAGACATATCAACGAAGACTTAAACTCTATATGTGAGTGGGTACGCCAAAATTCATTAATGTTGAATGCTAGTAAGTCCAAGTACATGGTGATCGGAACTAAAACACTGCGGGAAAAAAATATTAGTTACAATCCGAGATTTACAATAGGGAATGGTGACATTGTAAGAGTAGGAACGGCAAAGAATCTAGGCCTTACCATGGATGGCGAGCTAAGCTATTTGGAGCATGTGAATATCAAAATAGAAACGCATTTTACCGGCTAAAGCGGTGGTACGGAATCAGGAAGTATTTAGAAGAAGACGTTAGACAGTTGCTGGTTGAAACCCTGGTACTTTCTCAATTTTCATATTGCGATACAGTCTACGGCCTCGATTTGTATGAGAAAACGAAAAGGGCTATCCAGCGCCTTCAAAATGCCTGCGCCCGTTTTTGTTATTCCATCCCTAAGCGAGCACATGTCACTCCGTATCTCAACAAAAAAAAAACATTTTAAAAATGGTTGCCAGAAGACAGATACATCTCACGTGCTTAGTGCATAACATCGTCAACAAAAACAAACCGAAATATCTGTTTGATAAACT